GATCCCCAGGGATAATACACCTTCTCAGCTGTTCCCAGATTAATGTTGTCCCATTTTAGTGAAGGTAACCACTGAATAAACTGCCTGGCGGTTTTCTGATCTGTCTATGAGAGCTTCCATCAACAAAGAGGGTGAGAAGAATCATCCTGCAAGAATGCAGGAAAGTGGCAGGTCTTAGGTGGAAAAGAGGGCGTCCCATCCACCCCCCATGACAGAAATTAGCAAGGGAACCATGGGGCCTGAATGAGAGATCAAGACAGAAAAGGTACCTCCTATGTCCACCATGAAGGTGATGGATGTGCCTGATACCCGGAGCCTTACCATAGGCTCAGTAAGGGTGATGGGAGTCTCCTGAGTCTGGAGTACTGCCAGTCCTCCACCAGGCTAAGGCACTCCAAGGTCGGAAGAGTCTCAGATACCTGCCCTGGTGGGGTTGGAGCTCCGTGGTATGGCACAGAGGATGAGCCCACATGGGGGCACTTGGACTTCCAGTGGCCAGACTGCCGGCAGACAGGGCATGGCCTGATGGGTGGCTGAGGACTGGGGCAGCCTCGGGACCACATTTGAAGCAGGTCCCTGGTGAGCTGACTTTGGCTGGGCCCTGGTGGGATGGAGCCTGGTGGACTTCCCTTGTTCCCTCTGTGGAAAGGCCGCTGGCCTCAGGGCAACTGCCAAGGCCTGAGCTTGGGGTACAGCCTTCTGTTGGAGCTGAGCATGACAGGGAGACTCAGCCCCTCCTCTCAGGCTTTAAAAACCTTAAAAGCCATTTTCACCCATCCCTGCGTGGAGACCATCCTCAGCCTCTTTTAGTTTCTTTCTAATATCTGGCGATAACTGAGGAATAAAATGGGTAGCCAGGGCCGAGGCTCCTGCTGGGGAGGCTGGGTCAAGGTGGGTTGAATCGTATTGATTCATGGTCTCTTGTAATCGTTTTAGAAAAATAGCTGGATTTTTATCAGCTTGCTCTGTAATCTTGTGAAGCTCATAAAAATTGACCACTTTGTTCAAGACTGTCTCCATACCCTGAAGGAGGCAGTGGACCACGAGGTCCCTCCCCGGGAGCCATTTTGACCTGGTTGGTAGTGACAGTTGGGTTCCATGGCTGGCACTGCCATGTCACCCACAGGGACCATATTGTCCTCTAGGTGAGTCTGGTCTGCATACTGCCTGGCCACTCCTGAACCCATCCCAGCTCCTAGGGAGTGAGAGCGGAGGCCTGGATGACATAAAGGTCATGCCAGGTCAGGTCATAGGCTTGGGGAAGCCAATGAACATCTTGATATAGGCAGAAGGATTAGCAGAAAAGGAGCCTAACCACTTTTCAATCTGTGAGAGGTCCCGAAGGGAGAAAGGGACCTGGACTCAAACAATCCCCTCAGCTCCGGCCACCCCTTCGAGGGGGCAGAGTAGGGCAGGGGTCTGCTGAGACCATGTATGAGAAGCCATGGGGGAGGATTCAGGGGGAGCAGGCCAGTGTGTGGACAGGGACCAGGGTGCGGGCTGTGGCACTGTAGAAGGGGGAGGGGGAAGTAGGGCCTGTGGTGATAAAGAAGGAAGGGGCAGGAGGAGGAGGGAGAGGAGAGGGAGGTGGGTAAGGGGGAGGAGGTTGGCCCTCGACCTTTGTCAGGAAGGGGGAGGGAAGGGAGGGAGGGAAGGGGGAGGGGTGAGTAAAGGGGTGAAGGCTGGCCAGTAGGTGGAGCACATGGCTGTGTAGGAGGGAGAGGGGCAGGCAGGGTTGGGTGGGGAAGGGCAGGGGTGCCAGTGACTCAGGTGGCTCCATCAGGGCGGAGGACACAGAGTCCAAGGCCCCAGATGAAAGGGCGTCCTGAGGCACCACAACCCCAGCCAACAAGACCTGCCCTGCCGAGCACTGGCTACAGAAGGAGGGATGTGAGCACAGAACCCCCCAACCCTGGATGTAAGGGAGTTCAGACAATCTGTCCATAGGCGGAGAAAACTTCTCTCCATCACGGAGGATGTAAAAGTCAAGAGCGCCCTCCGGTGGCCATTTAGACTGTTTAGCTGGAGTGTGCTGAGGTTAGGGTACAGAACAAAAGAAAACTAGGCGTTTTGGGTGTATGATGTGCGACAGGCCCCAGATTGGATAACTTTTGCAGCAGATACCCCAGGGGTGACTGAGCATCCGGTTTAGACCTGGCGCTGCCCGTTTCCAAGCCTGTGCTGGAGACCTAAGACTAGGGTGAGAGTAAGACTGGATAGCCTGGAATTGAGCAGCGGGGGAAAGGGAGCCTGTGGGAGGATGTCTCTGAACCCAAGAACAGACTGTCTCTGCTCCAGAATGGAATGCGCTTGGCAGGGGATTCCTGGGGTCCCCAGGCCTGGAAGAGGTACCTGGTACCTCTTTAGGTGGTGGCTGAGAAACGGACTTAACCCAAGTCGAAAGCTGATTGTGTCTGGTGGAAAGAAAGATGGAGAAGAGCAGCCTCCCCATGTGGCCTTTTTCTGCCCCCCACAACTCCATTATAAGTAAGCTGTGAACTGAAAAAGTATAACAGCAGGTATATTGAGCAAAGCAACTCCCGGGCAGGTTCTCCAGTCCCAGAGATGGAGGCCAGAGAAGTTGCATGCCCAGCCCAGGGCAGGAAAGGTTTATAGACTGTAGGTGAGGGGTGATGATGCGTCCACCACAAGCTGGGTTTGTGCCCAAGTATGGTCAAAGCTGAGCACTTAGGTGGGGACTTGGGTGGCTGGCAACTTTAAGCGAGGAAGCTGCAGGCAAGAATGTGGAACTGGGCTTTTTGGTGTCTTTTTCTTTTGTTTGGAGACTGTTTGCTGGTGGGGTTTGGAGAGACAGGAATAGGACTTTCTGGACCATGCAAGGGTGAGCCGGAGGCTCCAGCTGAGCAACCTCTCTCCCAGCAGGGCCTAGTTCAGTCTGGTCATGTCCACTTTGGACTCTCCCACATATTTATAATAAACTTTCTCCTCCACCATACCTAGGAGCAGTCATGTCCTTTCCTTTCCTTTTTATCATTCAGAAACCTTTTAAACAATGTCAACGATGTGGCAGGAACCATGATAACTTCTGCATGGGGGTTAGCTTTAATATTTGTAGCTACTCTAAGAGGTAGCACCAATTACTTTCTCCAGACACCATTCAAATACCACATTCAAAACATACACACACACACACACACACACACATACACACACACACACACACACAAGTTCACAGTGTTAGTTTGAATTTGGTACATTCTTCAAAGGTCCATCTGTTCAAAGTCAGGTGGCATTGCTGGGAAGTGGTGGAACCTATAAAATACATGGTCTAGTTGGGAGGTCTTTAGGTCATTGGGGACATGCTGCTGAAAGGGACTATGGAGCCTTCTATCTTTTTCTCTGCATTTCCTGGTTACTTCAGCAGCCTTACCCTGACACCACGAGCCCACACCTCCAGCAGAGGCCTAAGAACAGTGAGTCCATCTAACCACAGACCAGAACTATTAAATCTACGAGCCAAGCAACCCTTTTCTTTTTACTGGCCGATTAGCCTCAGGTGTTTCTTTATAGTGACTGGAAGATAACACACACAAAGAATGCCACTAATCAAAAAGCATACATTTTATAAATGGGAACCATAAATGCTGGGCCCAGCTTTTCTGACTCTTAGACCCATGTTCTTGAGTATAATAAATGAAGTGAGAATAAAGCTACAGGAGCAAAATCAATGCAGAAATACGACCAAAGAAGCACTCAGCTCTGGGACTGTCGAGATGGCTCAGTAGGTAATGATGCTTGTAGTTAGTGCTGATGACCCAAGTTTGACCTTCAGGGCTCACGGTGGAAGGTGAGAAGTAATTTCTTCCACAAGTTGTCCACACAGACACCATAGCAAGAGACACATATGTACATGTATCCATACAGTAAATGAATGTCTTAGTCAATGTTCTATTGCTGTGAAGAGACACCATGACTACAGCAACTCTTACAAAAGGAAACATTTAATTGGGGCTTGCTTACAGTTTCAGAGGTTTAGTCCATTATCATCATGGCAGGGAGCATGGTGGCACACAGGCATGGTGCTGGAGAAGGAGCTGAGAGCTCTACATCTGGACCAGTGGGCAGGAGGAAGAAAAGAGACACTGGGCCTGACTCGAGCATTTGAAACCTCAAAGTCCATCCCCAGTGACACATTTCCTCCAGCAAGGCCACACCTCCCAAGCCTTCTCAAGTAGTGCCACTCCCTGATGACTCAGCACTCAAATATAGGAGCCTATGGGGATCATTCTTATTCAAACCACCACAACAAATTTAAAAGAAAAATATTTAAGTACTCAGCTCTGTATTGTTCATTGATGAATCGCTTCTTAATCTCAAATCTGGATGTTTCTCTTGTTAAAAACAACAGTTCTGTGCTAGAATCTGACCAGTGAGCAAACTGCCCTGGGCATCCCAAGTGGCACTCGGCACCGAGGTTTGAAGCAGAAACTCACTTCCCCTCCAAGTTCACAATCAACACTTCGGAATTAAACTAGTCAGGGAGGGGTGTGTGTGTGTGGGAGGGGGTGTGGGGGCGTGTGCCTCTGTGTATAGCAGTCTCTTTATACTTTTGTTTTTCTTGTTTTTACCACCATATGTTATCCACCATAGTCCAAAAGATTACATGGAAAATTTCAAAAATAAACACTCCATGAGTTTTAAACAACTTAGTATTGTTATAGTTCATCTAGCTTTATTGCTAGTTATCACCATAAAACTTGTGCCTAACTCATCAATGAAATTTTACCACTGTTCTTCAAAAGGACCTGTTTCAGGTCTCCTTTGGGGGTCTCTGAGCATGTCAGCTGTGAAGACAGGGGTACTGCCCTGTGAGGTTCAAGAGGGTGGAAGACCAGCAACCCCAGGCAGAAATACACTGTAGTTAAAAGATCAGCAAGAACACAGAACATGGCATTAGCAGTTACTGGTGAGGCTCAGATGAAAGGCGGCACAGATTGTAACACCCAAACTGCATGTTTCACATACGAACAAAGACAAAGTTTATTTTCATTCTGCATTTATTTGACATTTCATCAGTTGAACTGAAATAACACATTGGCTCTTACGTTGGCAAGACACCTCACTAATACTGATAGCTGCTAGTCAGTCACACACGCAACTCTAGCTCACATTAGAGAAATATTAACTAGTCACCTTACAACCTTATTGCGCTTCATGTGGCTTTGTCTTCAGAAAAGAAGTGTTTTTAAAAGATCAGCAAAGATTGCCAATTTCATTCATTTGTTCTTCTGTCTTTCTTCTTCTTCTTCTTCTTCTTTTTTTTTAAATAAATCATGATTAAACCACACAGTGAGTATTCCTATACAAAAGCACTAAGAGGCCCAAATTTCTAGAAACAATTTTCAAAGAGCCAGCTCCACACCCACTACTCATTGCTCACCACACCTGGGCTGACACCTGGAGTATGTCAGTCTCCCATCTGCGTTTTCACGTTCTCAGAGCTCCACACGCACTGGGGTAACAGCTCAGCGACCAGCGGGGTGAGGTGGACCCCAAGGCCTGCAGCTTCTCACGGAAATGTCCTCTAAGCATCTTTTGAGCCCTGCCTAGAACTCCAGGCTCTCACCACCATTTAAACAGAAGCAATGATGGCAACGAGGCTCATCCAAGGCCAGAATGTCACAAGAAGCCATTGCATTTCAAGTGGCTGGGCATTCAACACTACAGAAGATTCCAGCAGCATGGGGGGGAGGGGGATGGGAGCTTCAGATCCATACATCCTTTTAGAGAACAGAGAAACACAGACACAAGGCACACCGTTTTTTCTTTATGAGGAAATTCAATCTGGGCACATTATCAGGAAAAAGATCTATAGAAACTAGATAGTTTCTAATATTTTTTACTCACTTACAAATCTCTGAATTACAATGATTTACACTCAGTGTAACAAGGAGCTTGTCTATGACAGGGAACATCTACATACTTCCAACATGACCTCAGCTACACTGAACATGTAACATGTAAAATCACTATGGAGATGCAGACATGCTACGTAATTTCATGGTCTTCAAACAAACAGGGTGGAATGTAACACAACATTCACTGTTGCTGACTTGTTCATTTATTATCTTTGTATCTTCATGAAAGCAAAACAAAACAAAACAAAACAAAAAAAACAAAAACAAAAAAAGGAAGGAAATAAAGGGGGGAAAAGGCACATAGGGACTAGGAACTGTAGTTTCACATCAAAAAAACCCAACAAACCAGACTGCACTGGTACTGAATATATCCTAAACCTGGCATTGTGCATTTCAGTTAATTATTTGATGAAAATTCATGATTAGAAAGTACCTTTGAGGTCAGATTAATAATTTTATAAGAATACCAGACAAACTGAAAAGTTAACCAAGAGAAGTCAGTACTGTGAACACAGGATAATCGCAGGGACGAGTTCACAGCCTGCTCTGTGGCTGACTTCGGGAATGTGGACGGAGTGTTTACCTCTGAACCTCAATTTTTGTTACCATCTATTTTGGACTGGTCCACTGCCAAACTGGAGACAAAGTTTCCTTAGTTTTTACACTTGTATATTTAGTCTTAGACCTTTTGTGTTTTCCCAGTTCATGGCTGAGGCCTCTGTGGAACGAAAGGAGGAATGAAATGGGTGACCTTTCCAACCATTGACAACCAATGTTTACTGAGCCGGTAATTGGAGCACCTATGCTATGCCTACCAGTGCTTTTGAAAGCTCGAGGTGAGGGCTTTGAAAAAACGGCATCATTAAAAGTCTACCAGAAGGGTATGTTTGTAAATTACAACATGATTCAAATGTCATGCTCCTGACTGGCACTGGGTGCTGTGTCAAGGGGCAGCTTGACTCTAATGCAGATCTTTTAGAGGCTTTTGTAACTGGGAATGCCCCCATCACATGGGATTTCCTCACTGCTGTGGTTTCGGGAGGTTCACAGATGGCAGGAGGAGCCTCCAGGGCTTGGTCCTGGCTTCACAGGCCCTTGTTAAAGTACACGCGCTGTAATTCAGGATGACTCCTTTGGATGCTGGCTTGCAACTCATCCTCCAGGCTTGTCACAGGCATGGAACTGGGACAACGCAGAGGGAACAGGTTATCACAAGGGCAAAGCTAGGAACCTGAACTTAGGGAGAGGACACAGGTTCAGAGACCCAGGGCTGGTGCATGGACACGGGCTACAAAATGATCATTCTGGTCCCTCCGGAGAAACAATCACCACAACCAAGAACTGTACAAGGCCAATTGCTAAGCCTGTTCATCTGTTATTTCAGGCTGAAACCGTCTCATTGCTGGTAAGAGCACGTGGCAGTGACATGCCTGGACCCATGTGACCGCAGCCTGGCACGTAAGCAGCTACCCAAGCTAAGGGCAGAGCTGTGGTCAGGGAATCCATTCTAGTGGACGAACACCACAGATGTGCTGGTCTGTGGCACCAATGCAGGGAGCCACGTTAAAGGTTCTACAAGCAAAATGTACACGAGGCAACCTGACTCTCACAAAGGCTAAAACACTCCCATATGTAACAGTAGGGAGCAGGAAAGAACTGGGTAGAGCGAGTCCTGAGGTCCCACAGATCTGAGCTTGCCTGCTTAGTCCCTTCCTTTAAAGAGGATTCCCCGACCCTTTAGAGTCCTGAGTTTTTACTACTGAAATCAAATAACTGAATTTGTGTCTCCAGCTCATTTTTAGGATCGAAATTCACAATAATTCTGGAAAAAAAAGAAAAAAACCCCCACCACCTACCTCTTCTGAGGAAATAGAGCACAGCACAGCGGGGTCGCGAACACCAAACTTAAAAAACGAAACAGAACGACAGGTCAGTAGGTTAAAGTGTCACTTCTTGGCTTCCTTCCCTCTCCATGTATTTTAATGGCAACTCTTTCCTTCCTTTAGAGCACAGGATTGCCTTACAAACATGTACTGTTTAATCGCCAAATTGATAAACAAGGGCACCAAGAACAAAGGGGTGGGTACCTGGAGTTTACAGGAGAACACCCAGAGAGCCCTAAATTTGGAGGTGCCTGTGGTGACAGTTTCCATCTTTTTAATCACTGGGGCCACATAGCCCAGGCATTCTGGGTTGGTATCATTTTCAAAACTTCTCTTGTATCACCCAACCTTCCACAGGCATCAAAAATTACTTATATAAGTGTGATTTCTGTGTTGACTACTGTGATAACATATGATACACACCTATTGAATATATGCACACAATAATAATAGCAGCTACATTTTTTTAAAGGTTCACTTACACTTACCAAAAGCCAACCAACGTGACTTGAATTGGTGCACTCATCCACGGGAACCTCTGTATTGAGAAATATACCAGTGTGAATACTTCCCATGTGGTTCTTCAAAGAGCATCCCCATGGCATAAGACCCCATGCAATGGGATTAGTGAGATCCTGGGCAACACTGCCACACTGGTTAGTCCTGACTTCATGGCCCTGAGCTATGAATGACCAAGCAGCAGCCACTGCTCCCCCAAGTGTTATCCGCCGTGTACATGAGGTCTGGGATTAGCTAGCTAGCATTTAATTATGGTTTATCTGCTGCTAGGGAGGTAGAAGAGTTTGACATGCAAGTTTGACGAGACATGAACTTGCACTAAATCTCTGCCTCACCAACACTGATCAACTGTGTGGAAAAAGCAGGCAGAGACCAAGTTTTATTAGGATGCAAAATGAGCAGTCTCTCTAAGGTTGAGGATGAAGACAAGCCAGGAACCAAGGACAGTGACAGAGTGGGAGGAGCCTAGTAGACACCACCCTCCACTGATTTGCACATGCTCTTTCATGGATTTAGTTGCTGTGAGTAGGTTAAAACTATTTCCAGAATAAAATTTCTTTGCTAGTCATGAACGAGTAGGTTGGTCTTTGAGAAAATAAACATTGTTAGATATTTAGTTTGTAAAAAAGGAAAATACACAACATAAAGCGCAATGAGACATGGGGTTATCTCAGTAAGACCACAGAAATTTCTGCAACCAAATTGTGAGTTGGTTGGGATGTAATCAGCCACCTCAGTTCTGAGTCACACAAGTTGTTGCAAGACAACGTGCATAGAAGGCATACCCTGGTGCCCAAGGAGACTCCTTTGCTGAAAGGGATTACTGGGAGAGTCAACAGGGAGGGAGGAAAAGAGGGAATAAAGAGGAAGGGGAAACATCATCAAAATGAAACCAACCCACACAGGCTATGTTGGGGGGTGGTTAACCTAAAAGAACGAAAGAGGAATCTATTGCCATGTGCCACTTGACCACAGGACATGTTTTGAAAAATGCATCCTTGGGCCAGGCTGTCTGGGTACTCACTAGCATACATTGTAAATTCAGCTCACTGGGCTATATGATTTCAACACATATGGTCCTCCTACCTCTACACAAATAACTGGCCAGCCTGTTTAATGAGGGACTTTCACAGGGCGATTGCTGGTGGCCATGTCAAAGGAGCTGCTGTCAGCAATGGAGCTTACGGAATACAGCCCAGTGTATAGCAAGGCTACGCTGGGTGCATCCTGGAGAGGTGACGCCCTGGGAAGTCTCCAGCATGCCCCTTGCTTCTGCTACGGCCGCGCTCCTGCTGAATTTGGCATGGTGTGATTATTATAGGAAAGGACCCCACTGCATCTAGTACAGTGATTGCTTATCAGGAAAACCCCACTCCTCACCAGGCAATGCATTTGCAGATCACAATGAAGACGACTGTTATAAGAGTAATGATGAGTAGATCTATGATTTCATTGAATTTTCTGAGTTAGCCTAAAAGATTCAGGTGGTTAAGACAGTAAAGATGATTATGGAATTGGTTTATGTTATTCTGCCAATTGCTTCAATAAGAGAGAAAAAAAAAAAAAAGGCTAAAAGTCACCTTCCCCTTGGTTAGATGTGAGAATTCCAGACTACGGAAATAAGAACAAGGAAGCTTCATAAATTATAGACCCATCAATTCTGTCTGTGGAAAAACAGGCTGATGATCCTATACCCAAGGTTAGGCCTGATTTCCTTGGTCATATAATTACAGAATTAATCATAGGCCCCAGTATGCACCTTGAAAAAACAAAATTGTGAAAGGAAATCAAATGACCCTACTGTGTGTAAAGAAAATGGATGGTTAGCTGACCACTTGTTTAAAGTTTTTTTGTTTTGCTTTTTTTTAAATAGGATAGGAATCTGCTACATTGAAACTGCAAATACTGCCTGTCAGTACATGTAACTTGTGATCATAATGTGATTTCTTCCTGTGAAAAGATTTTGTTTTTGGAAAATATGTAACTTGTGGCTGTGAAGTAATTTTTTCTTGCATAGAAATTTTGTCTTAGGAGGTATAAGGGATAAGAGAAAAAGCAGTAAAGACATAAAGGAAAACATCAGGGAATATGTAGGAGGACATCAGGGAGGATGGGGGAGGAGGACATCAGGGA